AAGAATTGTGGGAGGAGGTGTGCTCAAGTAGCAATTTCAAGACATTAGCAGATAGAGTGGCACGTTCGGTCTGTTTGTTGTGGAAAATATTAAACGCAAGGAAACAATTATGCTTTAGGAAGGGTAACTTTCAAGACGTTGAACGGTGGAAGGAGCAATTAAGAAGAGAGTGGTTGGAGTGTGTTAAGGTGGAAGCTACAAATTCTTCTTTTTCAACTGGCACACCCATGTTCCAGTTCTCAGAGAAAATCAAAGCTACTAGAATGGCTCTTCTTACCTGGAGCAGGAACTTCAAGTCAGAGGATGATAAAGAGAGGGCCCAAATTACTGAGGAACTGGAAAAGATGAGCAAATTAGGGGAAAACAGAGACTGGGAGGCCTCACACAGACTTAAGAAGAAGCTTGACATATTGGTGAGAAATGAAGAAGCTTATTGGAGCCAAAAAGCCAGAAAACAGTGGATCAAAGAAGGTGACTCCAACACTCGGTTTTTTCATGCATCCACTATGCAGAGAAGGAGGCTAAATGCTATAACTAGATTAGTTGATGATAATAACCACATTTGGACATCAGAGGAGAGTCTTAAGAATCATGTTTGTGATTATTTCAAGAAGCTGTTTTCAACCGAGGGTTCTCATGGAGGGAAGATATCCTGCCTCTTATACCTGTATCAATTTCAGATGAGACCAACTCTGATCTTATTGCCCAAGTCACAAAAATAGAAATCAAAGATGCTCTCTTTAGTTTGGCTGCAGAGAAGTGTTGTGTACAAATTATTCTTTTTACCGAGTACCGAATCAAAAGATTCGTTTCCCGGGTCGATCTCACGAGGAAGGCAGTTCGGAATTCAGCTTTGGTATTGACAGCACATAAAAGCAAAATAAATCCTAAACATGCTAATCAGATAAAGGGTTTGAATATCTATCTACTACGAAATAATAAAAAGCATGAATTTACCTAAAAAGATAAACGAAATAAAGATGGAGAAGCTAGGGAATCGGGGATAATTGCTTTCGGTTCTAACGCAACTACCGACAATCAATTGCTCGGTTAAAGGACTTGAATCGTTTCTCGTCCAGAGGTTCACTCTCAATAACTCTTCGTAACAAGAGAGTGAACGTACACGATCAACTATCAATTCCAACAACTCATAGACAATACTTTTACGAACAAGTCTACCCTAAACGAGCCTAAGTCGACAAACATCTCCCCTCTCGGTTCGACACGTTTATTTATTAGGTTAGAAAGATGATCAATCTACTAACCCTAGATTAAGCACAACTCGAGTAGGCACGAGCAATCAAGAACAAGCAATCATTGATCGAACCTAATCAATCATCCCCTATCCCTAGCAAAAGAATCAGCTATGTAACATAAATTCAACACAATAAATCAATTCTCTCAATTCAATCATTATTCATGAATTAAATATAAGAGAAAAGAAACTTACAATTAATCTCAAATCCAAGTATTGAACATCAATTACAATCTTAATCAAAAAAGCAAGAACAATTCCTAGATGAAAAATGGAAAGTAAGGATTAATTGAAGAGAAAGAACGAAGAAGAAGATGAAAGAAGGGAAGAGGAAGAGATTTTATGTTCTTTTTCTAGGCTAGGGTTCATCCCCAGAAGGGGAGAATAATTTGATTGAGGTTCCGTACGTATATTTATATGGAACAGGTGTCACGGGCATGAAAAGAATGGGCGCCGCGCGCGGGGGAGTGTTGTGCGATGTTCTCTGTTGGTCTTGTGTGCATGGCGCGGCGCGAGGAAGTGATATTGCCGCGGCGTGAGGTGTTGCCGCGACGCGGAGCTGGGACTTCGGGCCCTCTATTGGGAACGTGGCTGTAGCGCGGCGCGAGGACTGCTTCTGTCGCGCCGCGGTGGGTGTCGCGCCGCGGCGCCTGGCAGCTCGCCCTTCTTCGCGTCTCGGGCTCGTTTACGCTCGTTCGGACTCGGAATTCGATTCCGTTTTTTCCTACGCGTAGCTAACGAAACCCTCTATATAATGATGTAAACTTCCCCAAAAAAATTCCAGAAACCTGTTCTCCTGATGCTCCCAACCTACACACCAAAAACGAAAACACAAACGGAAGACTACCAGAAAAAACATAAAAATTACCGGGGCACTCAAGACAACACAAAACACACAATAAACGATAAAATGAACCAAAAACCAACTAAATGACTCAAAATGGAGAAAAAAGAATGAGAAAATAATAACAAAAAATGCAACAAAAATGGGACAAACAACTCTCCCACACTTAAACCTTTGTTCGTCTCGCACAAAGAGAAAATAAAAGACGCAAAGATCAAGCATGGATAGCGATGACAAACAAGAAAGGTCTCAAACTACTCAATTAAATCGAAAAGCATTCAAACGGCCACAAACCACATGCTTCAACTACATACTCAGTTAAAGCAATTTGAACGACAAATCTCTCGACAATGGAATACAGGGATGGGCCTCACTAAATTTCTTTCATGAATATAACGAGGTACGCTCCACTTGGTCGAAATTCAAGTTTCACTGAGCCTTGCCTATTGTCTAATTCCTATTATAAAATAATTAAAATCATGACCTAGCAGATCAAAAGGACTTGACGGGCTGTAATGTAGGCTGAAGGTAACAAGAGGAATCTAAAATTGTCAAACGGCTACATAAATAATCTAAAGGAGTCATGCCACTCAACATAATCAATATATAACTACTTCCTTCACCAAAAGTCTCCATACACCACACGCACAAGCTCAAATCATAGTGTACTACACACACTTGATCGTTTTATTTTTTTTCTCTTTTTTTCCTTTTTTTTCTCTTTTTTTTTTATTTGGAGTTTGTTTTTCCAAACAATGTCGAACTTTAAGGACAACGTTCTCTTGGTTTAGACTTTGGAGGTTATCCAAGTGTCCAAGAGTAGTTTCCATTACTCATTACTCGTCCATTTGCATGAACAAGTAAGAGGAGTAGAATCCTCTTAGTTCGTCTTGCGAGCTCCATTTTTTATTTATTTTTTTTTTCGATCAAGTAGTATGCTACACTCCC